CTTGGATCTTCTTATACACCATGACTCTTCTAGAATGAAATAATTCACCTTCAGCTTGATTAATGCTTGCTTCACTTCTTCAGCTGCTTTTCGGCTGTACATTGAGTACACTGTCTTTGTTCTGGCTCTTTGAAAAAAAAAAAAACAAATGGGCAGAAAAATTATTTTTGTCTGTTCACTTGTTCTTATTTTTAATTCTTCACCTTCTATCCCAGGTAAGAGCAAAGGCCTGTGCAGATGGTAAATGTACACACGTGACTCCGGGCTGCTGTCCCGCACACGACACTAGCTGTGCTCAGCATGAAGACATCTCCCCAGGTCTCCATGCGGAGGTAAAACTAAACGCACTTGATCGAGCTGTGCTGGCAATTAGCTTGTTGAAATTGATTTTCTTAATGAAAAAAGCTTTTTATTAATAAAATGTGTATCATGCTGCTATGTAAAATAATATACTAATAAGATTCATCTAATCATTCAGGAAATGAATAGCTTCATCTACCCCAGAAGCTGCACCAAAATTAAATCTATTACCTCATCTACGAGAGCACAAGGTCGCAACTTATGAACAAAAGAAAATACAGTACAACTTGGGCTTACAAACTTGAGGGAGATGGCTGCATTTATATCTGAGTAGAAAATGGCCGTCGTCCTGTTTGTTACCCCACGTGGTGTTTGTGTACAAAAGTAAAATTTTGGTTTGTTTTCAAACCAAATTGTTTACAAACAGAAGTATTTGTGAACCAATGTACCACTACACAATGAGCCTCAAAAAAACCAAATGCCTAAGATCGCACAGGCCTAGGCCACATTGGGGAAGACCAGAATAAAACACTGTTCAGAAGAACAGAACTGCAACTCACTGCTGAGGATTCAGAAAAGAATGGCCGCTAAGATTAAAGCTACAGTGAAATTGCGGGCTGCTGAGGAGGAGGGCTGCAGGACAACAGCAACCAGTGAGCACCAGCTTGCCCGGGATCGCACTCCTCTGCAGAAGGTCCACAGGGGTGATTTCTTTTTCTGCCTAGCAGAAACAAGAACCCCAAGGGCTGTGGCATTCACCCTGCGGAGCCATGGCAGTGTGTGCCCAGCTCAGCAGTTCTGCTTCAGCATCTCCCAGTGGGCCTGTGAACTGCACCCACCACAGCCTGGCCCTGCTGCAGTCCTCACTCATGGTCTGTTCCTGTGGAAACCTGTTTCTCCCTGCAGGAGCACTGACCTCAAGCCTGCATCTTCATAGTGTGGGTGGTTCACCACGGGCCGCAGAGCGGACAGCTTCACACTGGCCATGGTGGGCATCGCCCCCGCGAACACGGCATCTGCAGGGAGAGGGGTTTCAGAAGGGTGCAGGGGAGCTGGGGAGGCTCCGCCTTCCATGACTCAGTCACTTCAGAGGTCACAGAGCTGAGGCCAGGGAGTGAGAATCAGATTCAGGGGCAGAAGCGAAGGCAGCCACAAGGAGGCTGCTGGAAAGGAGACCAGGCTTGGGAGCCACCTGGGAACTGGCGAACAGTTTCACCACCACTGAGGGCTTCTTTGCTTTAAAAAAAAAAAAATCTCAGAAATTTTTCCTGTTTCCAAGGAAGAAGTATCAAAGTAAACGAGGAAATGTTCTAGCACCAAGGAATATTCACTCAGATGACGCTCGGATGACAAGAGCTTCCCATTGGAAACATGAATAAAAGATCACATTCCATAACTTAACGATGGACTGTGAAGGACTAATGTGAAAATTTCTTCATGAAAAGAGGCATAAGAAATTTATTCTAAAATGTGGCATTTGCAATTGTGGATAAATTCTGAAAAAAATTCAAATTTATGTAAAGTAGCAGAATAAATTATTAAGAAAATATGTACAACAATTCCCTTGCAAACCACTGAATTGGGACTGATCTGTCTTTTTTTTTTTTTTGACGGGGGAATATTCTAGAAGCAGCACTGCTTAGAAACAGGAAGACCACTGAAATAACTTGAGCATTGTGTACTGGTATGTGAAACAGTAGAATAAGCCTAGCTCGGTGTAGACTTCTTACCTGGCTTGGTATTATATTTGATCCACTCTATCAGTTCTTCTTGTGGCAAATTACTGAACTCCCCCACAATATTCCACTGTGTTTGGAGATTTGCTGACCCTTGAATTGACATTGCTGCTAATACGGCAAACACAACAGCGCCAGGATGCACTTTGCCAAAGAGCCATCCGAACAGCTAAAACCACAGTAAGAGCACATTGATAGCTGTTAGTACAAAGCTGTGTGGATCCGAGAAGCAAAACTGCTTCCCAGAAAGGAACACGGTCTTGGTTAGAGCTTCAGATAAGGATTAGTTATCCCAGGGAAAGGTAGAAAGGTGCCAGAAACAGTGCTCCCCAGGACCAAAAGCACATTTCCATTGGCTTCAGTGAGTGAAACACCACCTTCTTGCCGGCCACATTCCAGATCCAGAGGCAGCCGGGGGCCCAGCGCAGAGCCTGAGTTTCCTTGTGCAAAATTACAAAGAAGTGTGAAACAGCAAGAGCAAGAAACACACAGGTCCGGTTCCACCAAAAAAAAAAAAAAAAAAAAAAAAAAAAAAAAAAACACAGGTGCAGGATCCCTCCGAACTCAGCCTTGGCGCACAAGTGGCAGCACAGACCACGTCCCTGGGAGCTGTCCCTTATGCTGCAGACTGAGACTGAAAGGCTTCCAACCAGTGCCCTCCCCTCAGCAAGGGAAGGCTCGGGGACAGTGGCGTGTCACTCACACTGTCCCACCCTGTGGCAGGGAAGCCTAGAATTGGGCACTCACACTCAGCACCAGCACTGTCTCTGCTGCTCGCTCCTGCATATCGTTTCCCTCCTGTCTGCTGAGGTGGATTGTAAGGTTCTTGGGGCATAGGTGCACTTCGGCTTTGCCACTTTCCACCCACAGGGCCCTGTGCATCGTGACATTTATGACAGGTGCTGCTTCTGCATGGTGACTAGTTGGGTTATCAGCAGATGACAGGATGCGGAAGCACAGAGCAAGGAGGCAGGAAAACCAGCAGCCAACGTTCAGGAATGGAGTCAATTAACTTGTCAAAAGCGGAAATCAGGGCTGTGCACTCAGGAAATGAAACAAAATTTAAGCCTCTTACTAAGAACAATGTCATTTAAAAGTACTTATATAAAAAAGATAAAAAAGTACTTATAACTTGAAATCAATTTTTAGAATTCCTTGTCCTGTGAATGTCAAGAAAAAAGTATTTCTAATAAAAAAAGAAAAAAGTATTTCTACAACTGAGTTCTGCGTTCTGTCAGTGCTTGTGGTGGTCGCTCATGCTCTTCTAAAGCTGATCAGCATTTGCTGTGTGCCCAGAACCATCTTAAGGGTGGCCAGATAATGACCGGATATGGACTTCTCCCTTTAGAAAGAGTGAGAACAAGCCCTTGAAGACCGTTAAACGCAGTGACTCAGCACCGGGAGTAGCTGAGCAACACTTCAGGACTACTCAGAAATTAAAGCTGGGGTGAGACAATCAGAGCAGCTATGACCCACGACCACGACCCAGTCACCTGTCGAGAGCAGATCAAGGAAGCCATAACACACATGTGCGGTGTCAGGAAGAGTTTCAGTCTCATAATCAAAATGCCAAGGGCTGTATATGCCAGCAGCTGCAAGGCATGGTAAACCAGCTGAAAGGGAGAGAAGAAAGAAATGTTACATATTCTCACTCTTTGTGAAGGTTAAGAATATATAAACTGGTGAGTACACAGAAAAGGATTTTTTTTTCTTAACTAACAAAAATTATTTGATTCTAAAATTTCTAAAGCAATTCCTACAATTTACTTCCAAATTGTACTTTTTTTTAAATTGTTTTTTGTGGTACCAGGGATCAAACTCAGGACCTTATGCTTGCCAGGCAAGCACTTATTCCACTGAGCTATCATCTCCCCAGCCCAAATCACTTACTTTTTTGTTTGCTTATTTATTTATTTGGTACAGGATCTTGTTACACAGCTTGGACTCATAGTGATCCTCCTGTCACAGCCTCCTCAGTGCTGGGATTACACTTTCATACTGCCTTGGCATCCCAGGCCAGCACAGAGTGTGGTACCAGAGATCGAACCCAGGTCCTTGTGCTTGCCAGGCAGGCGCTTAGACCACTGAACTATTCCCCAGCTCCAAACTGTACTGCTTTAGTCAAAGCCTAACATAAGGTAACCAGGGCAAGTGTTTCTATAATTCCACTGAGTGAAGTCTATGGTTGGCAAAGCCCACGCTTCTGAACAGACCAAGGGAAGACAGTGGGAGAAGAAATGACCATGCCTCGAGATCCCCCTGCTCCCTTGATGGCCAGTGAGGGAGGCTGGGTGTCTGGGAGACGGCAGCAGTGGTCACATTTCTATAAGTAAGGGAAGCAGAGCGGAGAGAGGAGCCCAAGGGCGTAGTCACTCCACACATGCATCTCTGTGCACTCCAACACCAGCAACGACAGCTACAGGGATTATCCCAGAACACCCGGAGTTTCCTACTTCTCTGCCTCAAAACTAGTGCCCGCTGGATCTGGGACATTCTCTTGAAAACACCTACTGGGGTACTGTGAAGATGATTAACAATAACTGTCAATAAGCCTAGAAGCTGGAACTAGGAAGTCCAAGTACATACAATCATGAAGATAAGTAAAATCTTAGCAATGTTAGGTCTTTACCTCTCCGTGATCAAACTGGCACTTTCTGAAATGGAAAAAACAACATTGCTTTTAAATCATTATTGAGTACTCAGTTCATTTATTTACACTTTATCTTGTGACTACAAGTTTTACAATGGCTAGAGTATTCCTCCAGGACACATTTCTGTAAACTGAAATACTAAAAGTTATACACGCAAAGTGGTGCTATGCCCATGAAGATGGTTTATTTTAAATGACATGGTGCACTGTGTCCTGAGTAACTGATGCTTTGGTATTTATTGAGCCAATAACAGTACACTATAAAACGCAGAACCTCTTGGTGACATCTTGGGCAAGTAAGGAGAAGAAAAGACCCCTGAGGTGTCCTAGTCCCTCCTGCTTCCACCTGGTGTCCCTTGACCTCCATGTTATGTGGCTGCCATGAGGGCTGGAAGCCACGGACAGGCTCTGCCACCACTGCTGTGGACACACCAATGGTCACAGCATTGTTGCCCTGCCTGGCCCACCAGTGAGCTGCCGACGTACTTCCTCACACAGCAGCTGCCTGCACTTCCTGGGTACCCACGTCGCACTGGGTCACACCCTGCCCCACTGCTAGGCCCTCTTGTTGTGACTGACCCTGCACAATGCCAGCAAGGCCGCTGGCTGCATGCCCACACTGTGCCCAGTGCTGCTGGCTTGGATACTCCTACCCCACTGCCCAGTTATATTCCTGAAGAAGGCAAAGTGCTCATTCATGTTTTGCTCATTAACTCTCTCTCCTTACTAACTTCCACCCTTTAGAGTCTGAGGTAAACATCCACCCATCCACCTGTCTGCTCATCCATCTACTCATCTATCCATGTGTCCAACTGTGCGGCCAGTTCTACTGAGTACTCAACATGCTGGAGACAGGAGCAACAGTAAGACTTTCGCCCTCACAGAGCTCACACCTATGTCAAGAAGACCTGAAAGGAAGTTTGGAGGGACATAGCTGAGGACTCCAAGTATCTGGAAACTTCTTGAAGACAGCACTGATGTGGTCTGACTTCTCTGAAAGGCTAGTTTTGTTGCTGTGTGGAGAATAGGTGGGTGTATGGGGTAGGGGCAGGGGTGAACTAGGGGCAGAGAGTGGGGGAAGAGTCTAGGGGAAGCGATGGAAACATAGACCGGCAGGTTCAAAGTTGGGGGCTAATTCTGAAGGTGACAGTGGTGGGCTTTGTAGAAGTAGAGGGCAGTTAAGAACAAGGTCGAGATTCCAAAGCTGAGCATAAGGAGGTGGGAAACACCACTTGGGATGGGAAGGGGGGACACACCATGTGGGAAAGCAGGCAGAGGCTCAGCGTTGCTGTGATGTGAAGGCTCCAGGGACACCACGGAGAGCTGGCACTCAGGCAGTCATATGTACAAATCTCAAGTGCAAGGGAGAAGTTTGGGTCAGAAGTAGATGAGTGTGAGTTGCCAACATTCCAGCACTGTTATGTTCCCTGCTGCTAGAATGATGCCTGGAACACAAAGCTCAGCTTTCTGGAATGAATGAGCAAAGGTATCTGTGACTCCCTAACTTCAGGAACACACAGCTTGTCTGAGCCTCTGGCCCCCAAAATGGATCCCTTAGCAGACTGGGGAAATATATGGGATAAATACGGGACGTCTCCGCCTTGTTCTTCTCATGCCAAACAAAAACCAGTTCTTTACTGAGCACATTCATTGTGCATACACCCAGTACACTGTATAAACTCTGATTCTCCTCTAATTTGTTTTCTGGATGTACAGCAAGGAGGGTGAGTCCCACAACCAAGTGACCACGGACTATATTCTCATGGATTCCAGGGCTGAGACATTCCACTAATGATGCTGTCTCTCCCCAACTTTACTTCCTAAATCCTGGAATGAGGACCACTGGCACACCTTGATGATGACATGGACCCCACCCTCCTGTAATGGCAGGACTCTGGGGCACGCCCCTTCCAGAGTGCTAAGCCTGCCCACTCAAACTGAAAACTCCACAGAGCGTGGACTGTTCTGCACAGCAATTCCTGCAGCGTTGTCTTCTTGGAAGGCACAGTTCTGTCCCTGTGAAAAGTCCCATCTTCTTGCACAGCTGCATGCTATAAGGGAGCTCCAACTTAGCGCCATCCTCTCAAACTCCTCTAATGCACTCTCACCCCAAATGAAGAGAACTGTTGGCGACGCACACCAGAAGCTTCCGCTTGTTCCCTGTCTAGCAATCCAGTGTTTCACATCCAAGCAAGGGCACGGCTACAGCAAAGCATTCCCCTTCTTCACACCCCTGTGTGCGTGCGCACCATCAACTTCGAAGTGAATGGCCTTGTCCACGAATCTGAACGTGTTTGTTACAGGGCGGGGAACCTTCCCCTGCACGCACTAGTCCTGTGAATATTCTTTCACCTGCACCGTCCTTCACTCTCCGCCAGGCAGTGTGCACACGAGCTGCACAGAAGTACTCTCTCCCTTCGGGAGCTGCGGGAAACACATTCAAATCTAAGCACAAGTGTGCTGAATGCTAAGAGAGCACAACACAGGGCATGATGGTGGCAAACTCCAGGCAAAGGACAGGGTCCCTCCACTGAGGAGAATGACACATAGGGAAGGACAGAAAAATGAGCCACCCAGTGAGCCAGGCTATCACAGGCCTAGAGGCTGCAGCCGTGGACACCAGGTTCCGTGGCTGCAGAGAAAGGAGGTCTGGGGGCGCAGGTGCGTGGGGCAGGAAAGGCCGTGGATTTTTCTCGTAACCGCCTTTCTGTCTATTTCACTCGTTCCCAAAGTATTTTTAGCATTTTTCTCAACGTGAGAAGTTCTTTACATGTCTGTCATCAGGCCCACATCATACACTGTAAATGTTTTGTGTTTTTTTGAACAATGTTTGCAAATGGCCTAACAAATCCAGAGTATACTCGGGCAGTTCTGTCAGCATTTCTCTCTGGCATATACTTGTTAACACCATGTTTTCAAAACCTTTCTATGTTCAATTCTGTGCAAATTATCTGGCATAAGTTTTGGGTATTAACAATTTACTGTTTTAATTTTTGCACCACTTGGGATATATATGGTATAAAATATAAGTTATGGGTCCTGTTTTATATTTCCTTGTTCATATGTAAAAAGAAAGTAAACCCAACATCCGGTCACCAAGACACCCCGAGGAGGCCTCATCTTCCCTGCTGAGCTAACAAAGCTGCACCCTTCAGGTAGAGCCCAGAGCAGTGCGGCGTGCTGTGCTCCACATGCCCGGGGCAGATGATTAATAAACAAACAGGAGGCGATAAAACGCTGAAGAACATATTTACCTGATTTGTGTCTGCTGCTTAATAAAGACATTCCACGTATCACTAATAACCTGTAAGCAGATTTTTAAACAGTTCAGAAATGTTGTTTTGAGAAAAATAAAATTTTAAGTATCTTCTAAATTTTAAAAGCTTTTAATTAAAAAGGAGATGTGAAAAAACATAATAATTGTGGCACCATAACCTCGGATAGTCACACCTAGAGGCACAGACATGCACTCCTGCCTCAGCTCGGGGGAGCCTACAGTTCTGCCAACTGGCTTGGACCTATCCACCTTGGGAAGGATCACCCAGCTGCTGCTGCCTGAATCTGCACCTACTCAAAAGTTTTTTGTTTTGTTTTGTTTTTTAATGTATTTTGTATAGTGCCTCACTACCCAGCTGGGACTCATAGTGATGCTCCTGATTTTTACCTCCCTAGTGCTGAGATTACAGGTGTACACCACAACACGGGGACTCCATGGCCAGCTCAGCTCAGCGTGCCCAGGGGTGGGACCAGTGTGGTGTGTGGTGCCGGGGATCAAACCCTGGTCCCTGCGTTTGTCTAAGCAGGCACTTAATCTGCTGAGCTATCTCACTGGGCCTAAAAGTCTTACCTCTTGGGATAGGTGATAACTCTAAGGAACCTGAATGAACATATCTAGTTCTCCAATCATAGGATTTTAATGTTTCAAAATAATTATCATCTTTCTGTTTGAATCTCTTCTTCTCTAACTAGAACAGCACAGCTTCTTTAATCTGATCTAACCAGTTCCCACCGTGCTTTGCATCTTGGTTTCTGTCTTTTGAACATTCTGGACAGCTGGACTCTAATAGGTTTTGAGTATCTTCTGGGATAGAATTGCCAAAGAGGAACAGAGCCCAGCACCACAGGACCTGACCATTAACTGCCTGGAGCTGAAAAGTGCTGCCACATACAAAGCTGCACGTCACCGTGCCCACACTGCCCATGCTTGCCTTCCTGACCTTCCAAAACCACCTTCAAAATAGGGTGACAGTCTCTGTCCCCCACAGTGCTGCCAGTAACCAGCAGCAACAAGCCTGTGAGAACATTCCCAGGGAAGACAAAGCAGCATGCAGATGTGTAATGTGGAAAGTGACTACAGCACTGAGCACGCTCTGAATACAGGACACACGTGCTGCAGCCATACCCACCAACCCAAACATTCTTATACTGTCTTTTGCAATCACAGGTTAAGCTCAATCTACTTAAGACAGCTGTAGCTAAAGAGTCCACAAACTTAAAAAAAAAAAACAAAACAGAACATCACACCTACTTTTGTTCCCTGAACATTGGTGCTTCTCTCGCCTGACTGTCATCTGAGCTTAGAATTCACTGTCAAAGCCAACTTGGGGACCTACACATGTTGGCTAGTTCATCAACATATTATTAATTCTTACTTTTTCTTTGTGGCTAATAATAAACACAATTTAGGAGTTACTGGACACTGCACACTTAGAAAGGCATATATTAAATGCTTTAGGGAACTACTACATAACAGCTTAAAGCAAGTCAGTAATAAACAGCCAAAACCAAGTTGCAGCTAGGCCTCTGACAATGACTTTCGAAATACACAGCCATCAAAACAGGAACCATCCCTTTCCTTTGTCTATGCTGGAAGATAGCAGAACTAGATAAGGCTTGTTGTGAATATTTGTCAAAAAACATCAGTAAGAAAATAGACTGTGTTTCAATATATCAATACAAAGCACTTTAAAAAACTATCATGTCACTAAGAATATGCGACTGCTGTACAAAAACAAGAAAATGTTTTATTATAAAGAGCTCTAAATGGCAGACCTACCTTTCTGACAATTGCAATAAATACTATAAGAACAACAGGAAGCAACAGTGTCTTTGTGTACCTCAGGGGGGTCTGAAATTCAGAGAGATGCTTTGTTTAGAGGAAAACATTATTTAACCAAAACAATTTCATTTCAAATAATGAAACAGGTGAATTTCTCAAATGTAAGTAGAGAAAAATGAAATATTCAAGCATCACGGGTCCCATTTACCCTGCCTCCATCATAAAAATGAAAGTGTATTTCCATAAACGAATTTCACCCAAGTGTTGAGTAGAAAACATTAAAAATGCAGCTCTCAGATACTTTTCAGTGAATGTGAAAGTTACCAGAGAGTGACTTCTCTACTTTCTGCAGGCTGCTGGTCTGCGATCTGACTTCCTACCCATCTGAGTTTAAGTAGAATGTGTTAAATGGGTAAGCTTCCCCATACATTTTTTGAGAAATAAAAAAAATAGCGCTCTCTCTCTCTCTCTCCCTCCCTCTTCCTCTCTCCCTCTCCGTCTCTCTCCCTCTCTCTCTTTCTCTCCCCCACACACACCACTATATACAAAATAAGGAAAACATTCATAAAGAGAACAGACATTTCTACATTTTCCTTAGTGAATGATAGTGTTTTTAATCCTGGCTCCTAGATTCACAACCTAAACCACTGTTGAACTGTGCTTTCCCACGTGTGCTAACCACAGGCAACAGAACTGCACCACGGTGTCCCCTCCCATGCACATCTCTTCTTTCCACATCAACAGGTGTCACGGTAGGGATGTCACGGTAAAGCTGTCCCTTATTTCCAGGATGAAGGCACCTGAGCAGAGCCACACTGCCTGCACTGAACACTCTGGACACCACGGTCCCTGCAGTCAGACACCTGTGGCGGGGATGGCACACTGCAGAGAGCCGTCCTGATGAGCCTCCATTAACGATGCTCTTCATACAGAGCTGACAACACCCTCAGGCTGACACAGCACGTGCGAGTCCTCCTACCATCACTGCTGCTACTTCCTTGGAGCAGCCTTGATTGCTTCTGAACATGCATTTCTATGTCTTATAAGATACCGTTCCTCTCAGTCTTTCAACAGGCATTGTCAGGAATTATGTCTCAAAGCACTAAATGCAGCAATGGAAGCTGAACAGGCCAGCAGGGCAAGCAGGACACCTGCAGAACACTTGCAACTCCAGAGGCAGCGGGGAGCGAAGGGAGGAGTTAGAGGATAGGGACATGGCAGTAGAGGACTGTGGACAGTGTAATGTTACATGAATGCAGCACTGGATGATAAAATGTAATGAACCAGCACCATATGTATGGTGTTTGAAAGCCAGAAATATACATGTCTGCAGAACCAAAACTGCTCATACAGCACTAAAACACAATGAATTATTTAAAGTATCGAAGTTCTTTTCTGAGTTACCTCCCTTTGTCTCCACAATGTCTACTGGTAGCATATTAGCAGAAACTGGTAAACTGTAATGCAATAAATGCAAGTCAGTGGTTCCAGACCATGAAGCAGCCCTGCAGACTCAGTCTCACAGTCCGCTAACTTACTCTCTGATTTCCTTCCGCATAGCTGAATAAAGTTTTAGAAAGTGAAATGCTGGAATGAAACACTGGCGCTCAATGATACTTAAAAGCAATGAGATCACTCAGAGAAGCAGAAAACGAATGGAAATGTAAGGGCTTGTGCACCGGCCTAAATGAACACCTCCTCTGAAGTGAGGCGACTGGAAATGCCTCTGCGCTTGCGTATCCAAAAACGGTGGCTGGTCTGAATGTGTACTTAAAAATTATCAAAATGAAAAGAAGCCATGTATTTCAGTGAGTGACCCTAATGTAAATAAGAGTGTCTTTAAGCTGCCAGATCTTCTTTTTTTTTTTCCTTACGGGTGAGATATCAGCTCATACAGAATATGAAATAACAGGGCATCCTTCATGCACAATGAATGAACCAAAACCTTGAACAGAGCTAGAAGTTACCCCTTACCTCCTTTTCCATAAAGTCAAACTCTGCGGCACAGGTATACAGTAAAGTATCAAAATCCTTGTAATTAAAGAATTTTGATGTTAATAAGTTGCCGATATGAGCCTGGTAATAAAGAAAATGAGAAACCACTGCATTAAGCCAAATACTGTAAATGCATCTTATTCTTCCTGGTGTTAGGAAGATTCTGCTATGTGACGGAGCTCACTGTTCCAGTCAGGGCTGTGTTCTGTTCAGGACTGGGAGGCAGCGTCCCACCTCACAGCTGCCAGTCTCCTGCTGGCAAGCGATAGCACTTCACCTCCCATTTTCGTAGGGAACAAAGGCTCCTACCTCCAGTTGTCCCCACTTATTGCACTATCTCTAGTGAAGCAGACACAGGGCCACTCCTGGCTGGGGCCCCCAGAGTTCACCTAGTTTCCTCTCAGCCATCTAGGGACAAAGGCTTGGGGGTGAAAAGAGGAAGACAAGCCTGAGTACGGAAGAGAGATCAGGAAGACTGCTGGGAGGAGGGGAGAGATGGTGGGTGCTGGACTGAAGGCTCTTCTGGAAAAGGCCAGCTCTGTGTCATTCACTCCATGTCACCAACTGCTCCTTTTATGGCCACGCTGATCTCCCAGGGAAAGCAATGGAGGAGGGTAGGCTTCAAATTTGGACTATGCTTGCCCAAATCTGGGTGAGATGTTTTGCTTTAAATTTTTATGGTCTTTGTGATATAGAGGAATCAATAAAATGATTATATCAAGAAATTAGTTTTGGAAAATAAGAATTATATATAGAATTATATTTGCTTTGCATTAAAGGGATAAAATCATAGGTGAACAGACTTCATGCTCGAATTTGGTTATAAAAATGGTACTTTAATAACTCAAGCAACTCTCTCCCAGCCTAACTGTTCCATTCACATCTTTCATGCTTAAATAAAAATACACTTACATCATCAGCAATGCCAAAGACTCTGGAGGTCAAAGATTTGAGTGCAACAGTTCCAAATAACCAAAAGCACCCTTGGATAACCTACGAAAGAAAAATAAAACATAAAAACTAACTTTGATGTTTCAAATTTGATAGCCTATGAAGGAAAACAATACATGCTTTAATCACATAATAAATGTGCTGCTAAAGAAAAAAAATGTTTTCATCATATTTAAAACAAATATATCATTAAGAGAAAATGATAAAAAAAATGCATTTCAATTTCAAATAATGTTGCTCCAAAATCAAAGGCTATAAACCAAACAAAAAAAAAACTTTATATAATTTTATTAGTAAAACTATTATGTTTCTTTGGACATCCACATAGGAACTGTAGTTAAGCTCTTCTAACAGTCTCTTATACATGTGCTTGCTCCTCAGAAAAAATAAACTAACCAAAAGTAGGGTTTTGCAACTGATCATCTTTGATTAGTCTTGCTTCCTGAAAAGAGCAATCTGACACATGAAACTGAGCTCTAATGTTATGAAGCTGTTAGATGCCCTGCACGAAGACTGAAATGTAAGTGTGAAAACTAAAAAATCACTTACACAACTTACAGAAGAAAAGATGGAGGCATTGAAATAGATTGATTCTTACCCACAAACTAAGTTCAGATACATTTACTTTCAGAAAATGTGGTTTCATTGCCAACATACCCTGCATAGGCAAAAACAGCAGTTAATACTTACACTCCCAACCCAAACAACAGTTTCTCTAACAGCTGCACCTTCAAGAATCTAAACTCCAGCACACTACGACTTCCCACACACTATCACGACATGCCCCTGTCTGTTGTCAATGACCAAAAAAAAAAAAAAAAACCGGCCTTATTTTACCCAAAGGAAGAGTGGGCCAGGTAATAGCTTTGTAAAATTGAAAAGAGAATCACATATACAAATTTCTGATTTTTACAGATCAGCTTTGTCTAAAAACCAAGAAGTATATTAATGTTATAATTTTAGACAGTGGTCATACAGACATAAAATTTTCCTTATGCTAAAAGGTACCAACTCTTGGGATAAATCAAGAGATGGAGGGAAGGGTAAGATAGAATAATAACTGAGATACATTATATATGTGTAACAACTCCCCCCACAATACATATACTAATTTTAAAAAGTGAAAAAAAAAAGATCCATTAAACAGGGATCTGTCAAATCTGAAATCTTTTTGGGTGCATTAGCTCCCCAAACTGTATTATCTTTGGGAAGCTAATCCCACTTCAAGCTTAGCAAAATATAGTTAGGGATCAAGACACAAATACTTTGAACCCAAATTTAGTTGTTCTTTAAAAAAAAAAATGTATTTAGTACAGTGTCTACAGAGTCTAAGTAGATCAGACTCATAGTGATTCTCCTGTTTTCAGCCTCCCAAGTAAGGGAGGCTGAAAACAGGAGAATCACTATGAGTCTGATCTACTTAGTGGTGCACCCCCTCGCCCAGTCTCAATTGCTGTCTCAGTGTGACCTAGGGCTGGAGCGCTTTAGTTCCCTGAGCTATCTGGCAGGCCCTTCCAAATTTAGTCTTAATTTAAAGTATTCTGAAAATTCGAGAGCACAAAATATGATACAATTTGGATTCTGAAACGATGAAACAGTGAAGCACTGTGCAGGGAACGTGCCTGAGCACACTTTAGTCTACAATTTTAGGATCGTGCATTGTACACACCATCATACACAGAGCACGCACATACATACTGAATTCATTCCTGAGCCACACCTTGCTGTCTAGCACCCAGTAAAGAATCCGACTTCCAGCACCTAGAAACTGAAATCAGGGAAATTTCTTCCAAAAGGGAACTCAGGTATTCTTCCCATGCGCTCTTCAGTTCAACAGCTTCCCCTATTCAAGCACACAGTCATGTCTGTACTGAGTAGGAACAGTACTGCCATTGTATCCATACAAGTGCAGGTCTGAGCAGAGGTCTGTTGTACCCTGTCAAAATTGACTCCATTTTGTTGCCTTTCTAACCTCGCCGAGTTCCTGTTCTGTATATGCCTACCCCTCCCAACTCCTCACCCCTGTGACCCAAGTCTTATGATAACTGTTCCCCAAACTTTATCTCAATGAACGCTATGACTGCCAACTCAGCACCCCCACCCAACAGGACTACCCCATGAATTAATGACCCACTGTACCCCATGATTGCTGATTTCAGCACCCCACCCAATGGGACCACCTAATGAACTAATGACCCTGCCACTTCTTCCTCTCCACCCCTTCCCTGTTTTTGTGGTTTTCAAGCTTAAATACTGACCCTTGTCACTGCTCAGCGCGCCTCTTTGCACCTTGCATACAGACGGCTGCTGGGTACCAGCTAATAAAATAAAGCACTTCTTTTAACTTTTGGACTTGCCTCGCTGTCGTCTGATTTTTGAGCTACAACAAGGTCCACATTTCCTCACTACAGAATGCCTGAATCTAAGTATAAACAAAGCGCAGCAACTCTACTGATGATTTTTGCTGTTGCTGAAACCTCAGCTTACCCCCTGCTAAGAGCTCATTCCTGGGGCTAAATATGCTTGTGCCGCACATGTGATAAGGGTGGTGACTCAGACTGGGCAAAAGCATATTTGGGGAAAAGAGTTTTGAATAGTCATTATCTGTAAAAAGGGAAAAAGCAGGAGGCCTCAACTTTTTTTAAATGAACTTGAGAAATCAAGAAAGCTAAAAATGATCCCAGTAACTTAAGTTACTCAAAAAGTACAATACAGCCTGGTATTGTGGCACAAGCCTACAATTCCAACATCCCAGCATTTGGGGGTGCTGAGGCAGGAGGATCACCATGGGTTCAAAGCCAGGCTGGGCTACAACATTCAAGACCAGCTTGGAGTATATAGTAAAGCCCTGTCTTTAAAAAATGTACCTATCAATGTATCTATGTATCTATGTATCTATCTAATCAATTAAGATAGCACAAGAAATGGGCCTGTGGGCTTTAGATAAGAATGACTAGAGAGAAAAAGGTTAAACCACCTTGGGTAAACATGACTTTTATATTTATCTTGACAGTGAAAAAAAGAAAGGAAAATTCAGCTTTCTGACCCTAATGTAGGCAGGAAGGCTGTGGGAAAAGAAAGGGCAGGCTGCTGCAGGGGGAGTGCCCTGCTTCCCGCAGTGTGCTCTTACTTCTTGTTGCTTTGGCATGAATCCCTGATCATCCGTCACACACGGATGGCGGCAGGAAAACATGGGACTCTGTACCTAGAGAACGCCCTTATGAATTCCAGGCCAGGGACAGAGAAATGGATCCCATGAGAATCCAACCGGCCTTGTTCTTTAGTGACACTTACCCAAATAGTCACCAAAGAGGAAGCATAGTAAGATGTTAGCAGCATTGAGTTCCCAAACATCAGAAAAAAACACAGTGTGAGAGAAATCTGAAAAAGAAAAATATTATTAATACACTTAAAAGTGCAACACTGACTGTAGAAATCAGCAATGATAAATGCCTATGATGAACACAGGATCCTTAATGCAAACAGCACGCTCTGGACCCACACTTCATGCCCCCAGAGAGACCCTCAGGGACAGCCTCCTGTGTGTCCTCCTGAGAAGTAACAAGAACAAACTTCAGTTTGCATTTTAGCTCAAGGGCATAAATGGGAGCCTACACATGAGCTACACTGTTTTTTGCTTCTGCTCTTAATGTTTCTGAGAGCTTTTTATAGCAATCCAACCCAATTTCACTTTAAGAACCAAGAAAAATACTGTTTTCCTCTAAAGATGTACTATGATTTATTTAACTAGTTCTCTGGGTACTGTTCAACATTTAAATGCTTTCCAGGTCTGTTGCATTGTTTTATTTTTCCTGTTAAGATCAAAATGTTTATATATACATCTATTAGAACATGTCACATATTATAGACATAGCTCATTAGCAAGCAAACATACTGCAAATATTTTTCCCAGTTTCGGTTTTATCTTTGTGGTGTTTTTGTACTATTGTAAATTTTTATGTTAGATAAATTTATCATTCATTTCCTTTAGATCTTCAAAATGTACCTCCATAACTTAAAAAATAATTCATATTTTTTCTAGAAGCGTTACCTTTTATCAATGTATCAATTTCTATATTAATTTTAGAATGAGCTTAAGTTTCAAAAGCTGGCATTTATTTAATAATGTACATTATCAGAACCATTCTATCTACTACTCGATATTGCATTCCTAGGCCCAAAATATTATATATCACTGTCACTTTTTGTCTTATGTACAGTAGCGAATACAAGGTTTTCCTCAGACAGACCCTGTATATTCCTTATTTATTCTAAAGCATATCATCTGTCACCAGTGCCAGGACATCTGTCACACATTGGATTAATTACTTGTACATAGGGGTCATATTAAGCATTCAATGATGAATGTAATTCCTCACTGTCTGTAGTTATGCTTTTATTAATTTGGATTTTTGAAGTATACAAAATCATGGCTTATAAATGATTTTTTTTAGTATCTTCTTCCTGTTTTTGAAGTTCTCATTTTTTAGTCAATTGTATTAGTTGTTACTTCTGCAATAAGAGTGGCAACAGGCCATATTTGTCATGATCCTGGCATTAATGGAATGGTCCTATTGATTTGTCATTTTGTGTCATGCTAACGTTATGTTTTAGGAGTATGTACATATTTCAAATTTCAATGAAATCTCTATTTTTTACTTGATTAAGACCTTAAAACTTAGAAACAGATGTTAGCTTTTATTAAATGGCTTTTTAGCATCAAAAAGGAAAGGATTATATTTTTTATATTTTTACAAACTTCTTTATGTGATAAACTGTAATAGAAGACTTAAGGCAGAATATTCATGTATTTCTGGGAGGTCTTTTGTTGTCATATTCTATTGCTAATATATACTAAGTAGGTAATTACATTTTTTTTTTTTTTTTTTTTTTTTTTTTTTTTTTTTTTTTTTTTTTTTTTTTTTTTTTTTTTTGGTACCGAGGATTGAATTCAGGACCCTGAACTTGCCAGGTAGGTGCTTATTCTACTGAGCCATCTCCCTGGCCCTAAATTTTTAACACTTTACATCAGTGGTTTTTGGCTGTAAGTGCTAAAATTTAAGACTAACCCCTAAATTTCTCCTCTCAGTGTTGGCAAAAATTAAGATAACATTACCTTAGAGGAATGGGTTCCTGGCCTAGAAAGAGTCAAAACAATGAGAAAGGTATTGAAAAAAAATGTAAATTCATATTAAAAGAAGAAGTTCTAGGCTCAGTGTGGTGGCCATTGCCTGTAGTCTCTACGCACAAGGATGAGGCAGGAGATCACTGTGAGCTCAAGGTCAGCCTTGTCTATAGGGTAAGATCAGGACCAGCCTGGACCACATAGTACGACCCTAAAAAGAGACTCTAAGGCATGTTTCAGGCTGAAATTAAAATACATACTAACTTGTTGAAAAGCATTCTGAAATTATTATTGCTGAAATTATATGGCTTTTAGGATTCATCAAAGGAAAAACAAGATAAATATCACAAAATCACTAAATGTGAAAAGGCACCTTCACTCTGGCTTTGTTTATAAAATAACAATATGATCTCCAGCTCCACCTCTGTACCAGCTGGAGCTTCTGATGCAAGGCACCGTGTCACTGACCTGGACTGTGGAGTGAAGTGCTCCAAAAGAAGGAGTGGGAAGGCTCTGTCCAAAGGAAGGAAGGAAGAGGCAACAGACCGCAGAGCTCACACCTGAGCACGAGCTCTATGGAATCTGTCTTCTTGCCTCCTTTCAGCCATATTTTGTAACTTTTCTGGCACCAGGACCACTCACTGCAGCAGGACCCCAGTGGTGCCAGAGAAGCTGTGTCCTTGGTACAGTCAGGGAAGGGTGGCTCCCAGGATGTGTTGGAGGTCAGCTGGGGTACTTACTAACGAGTACATGTGGGCTTTCAGAAACTTTAGTGGGACCGTCCTGCTACAAGGTTGTATATGGCTAGATTTCTGGACTTATGTGTAAACATAAGAATTATATAATTCTTTTGCCTATTTTTAAAATATATTTTAATGTTTTAAATGTTTTTTCATCATATTCTGTAGGGACTTAAAGTTTCACATATCAGTACTTGATGAAAAATACCTGTTCTATGTTATGCCTAAGATGTTTGATATTCAGACAGACAGTGAGGTTAAGCTTAACAGTCTAGGTTGTATGGTAATAACAATAAGCTTCTCTTCTGGAGGGTTAACAACCTAAGTTTGCAGACCAAAATTAGAGAAAAAGGAGGGCTGCAAGGAAAGCCAACATTTTGGCCCT